TTAGTTATGTTATTCCTGATAATATTTTGGATATTAACCTCGTATAAGTCTTTTATCCTTATATTAAAGAGAGTAATAATAAATTATTTTCCTTAATAATATTTTAGATATTAACCTATTTTAGGGTTTTTTATCCTTATATTGTAAGTGAATAATGTATTTTTTCTTGCAAAAAAATTAATAATTTTGAAATATAGGTTAAAATCCTTTGAAATTTTACGAACTTGTTATAAAATCCATGCCAAAGTATTTATATGTATATTTTTAGAAATGCTCTAATATTGTTTTAAGGATTTTTGGCCATATGCTAGAAAAAGAAAAGCATATGGCCAAAAATCCTTAAAAAATATTAGAGCATTTCAAAAAAAAAAAATTGTATTTTTTTGTATTTTTTAGGTTTTGTTTGGCAAAAACCCTTTTTTTATATAATAACATTATCAAAACAGGCTAAAAAGAGTGTTTGTCAAACATACCTTTAAACAAAAAAACTTTTTAGTAAAAATGTTATCAGCCAAACAAGGCCTTAGCCATTTGACCTCATTTTAACTTGACTAAGTTGAACCAACTAGGTTGACCTGAAATCCTTGGTTCAACTATAAACTAAACCAAAGATTTGAGTTTGAACTGAAAACAAACAAGAAACAAAAGCAGAGCCAAAAACATATTAAACATAAAAAACTCAAAAATTCTTGAACAAAATGGATTAAATACAATAATAATAATAATAATAATAATAATAATAATAATAATAAAGAACATTTAAAGAGAACCACCAATGTGAATCAATATTTAGACCATATTTCATGAAATAAAAAGCGCAAAAAGGATAGAAATCAATCACTAAACAATAATAAAACATCAAATATCGACGATTATCAACCAATAATCATAATTTAGTCAAAATAGATTTCAGTTCAAAATTGAAACCCTATGATTAAAACCCCTAAAAAACTTATGATTAATGCAAATAAACCCTAGATTATTGTCTAATGATGTTATGTGAAGGTGAAGATACAACAAAATGGACCAGAATTGGTTCAAATCATGGAGTTAAGACAATGTTATTTTCAAGAATACTACCTAATAACCCAGAAATAACCCAAAAACCCAACAAACTATCAAACCTTCAAAACTGACATTTTTTACTTCTAAAACATGTTTTCTTTATTCTAACAAGTCACATTATCATAACCTAACATATTTGAATAAAAAAAACTAACAAGTAATATCAAAACATCAAAATCATGTAAAAAGATTCTAAGCTTTAAAATTACCACCTTAAAACAACCTATATATATTTATGCTATTTGGATTTACGTTTTTTATAAACCTTTAATAAGACCTAATTGAAACCTAGAAACTTGCATAAGTCAACGCAGAAAAACATCATAGCCTTGATGCTATATTTGAAATATTTTAAAATCACTTTATTTTATCAAAACTTACCCAACAAATATCAACTAAATATTCAGAAACATCAATAAACAACTCAGAGTAAGATTTAAATAATAAAATAATTTTTTTATGTATTAATCAAAATCAAAACTAAAGAACATTATAGCAATAAAACATGTTCAAAAACACTTTTAAATATGTAAAACAAGCTAGAGATGTGTCTTATAGACATCACCTACTAGGTTAGTGATTAGTACTTAAAAGTGCACGTACTAGGTTAGTGAAGGATTATACATTCCTAAGACTCATAATAGTTACTGCCTTTCTTGCTTTGAAAACTCAATCTTTTGCTCAAACTTTAACTTATCCTTTTAGCTCTTAGATGCCAAGCAATAAACTTGATTATGAATGAACTTTAAAAATAAGCTTTTTTTCTCTTTTCTTCCTTGCCACCTTTTTTTTCCTTCCTGCCTTGATTTTTCAAGGGTTATTTGTAGGGTTTCAAATTAGAATTTTTATGGATTTAATCAAAGATTGATCCTTATTTATCAAAGCTTGGCCCTCTGATCAAAATGAGAGAGTTTTATATATGTTTTATAGTTGAGTTATATACATATGTTAGCTTTACAATGGTATTTTTGCAACAAACTTGATTTTGAGGATTTTGGTTGTTTTTCCAAACTTGGAAACCAATGAGCTTGTTTTCTAGCCTTTAGATCTTGACAGAAACATGTTCAGTCTTTGATAAGAACCCATTGAGGAGATTGCAAAGTGAATATATGAAAAAAAAATTATGATCTTGTGAAATGAGACTCACAACCATTGACAATTGAGTTACTTATTTTTGAGACTTTGTTGGAGCAACTTCGACATCGTCATCATTGAAGAACACATGAAGTTGGTAGAGGGCACACCTTTCATTTCAATTAAACCTTGCTCAATTTCGAGGTCTATAGCTTCACATCCATTCACTTGAAAATGCCAACTCAATCAACCAAGAATCTAAAAAATATAGTAATAACTAATCATGGAAAAGATGTTGTTGAGTTCATTAAAGAAAATAGGATATAAATATTTGTTAAAAATAATTGATCTTTGTAAAAGATGTGTTTCTCAGTTGACTAGTGGTGATTACAACTTCAAAGGTGGCTGAAAACATCATATTCATTAATTACTTTTAATGAAGGTGCCTACTCGATCAACCAAAGCTGTCAAAGAAAAAGATAAATAGTGGCCGAACAACATATCATTTAGGTTACCGCTTCAATTTCTTTTTTCTTTTGATTTAGTTATTCTTCTCTTAATTACAATTGTTTTATTTATATTGACCATTTCTAATTAGATTTTATTTTTTATTTCATCCCTAGTTATTTGATTTTGTTAGTTTTTTTTTTATCAAATTTGGTTCTTATTCTTTTAAATTTTTTTTTTGTTTTCAATCAATTTCTTGATTTATTTGTTTTTCTTCAATTCCATCCTTGATCATTTCTTTTCATTGAATTTTTATGTCAAGTTTGGTGCTAATTCTTTTAATTTTTTTAATTAAATTTTTTCAATTCCATCCCTAAACATTTAATTTCATTTTAATTTTCCCATAACATTTAATTTTAGTTGGTTTTTGTATTCAATTTAGCACTAATTTTTTTTTAATTGATATTTGTTTTGTTTTTCATTGACTTTTTTTCCCCTTAATTCCATCTCTTAATATTTGTTTGGTTAAAAATCTTGCCTTCTTTTTCAAGTTTGCCTTCAATAGAGTCACCCTAAACTCGTGACCCGGGACAAGTGTCATCTTTTTTCAAAGCACTTTTTTGCAAATATTTTTTGCTGGTATTTTTTTGTTTTGGTACCTACGATGTCATCCCAATTTCACATATATTTGATCGCTCGAGACCTTATTTTTAATCTGTTCTTATATGTTTCCATCACATTGCCACGTGTCCATTTATTATATATTTTTTAATGTGTTTGGTCTTTTATGTTTAAGCCATGAGTTTATTCAATCATTTTTAATGTTGTGGGTTTATTCAAATTTTTTTTTTTTGTATTTATTGTTTAAGCTATGAGTTTTTGAGGGTGGATATATCTTTTAAGCCATGAGTTTTTGAGGGTGGATATATCTTTTATTGATTTAAATAAAAAAGATTGGTAAGCATAATCGGGTAAATATCTTATCTTTACCGTTTTTCTCTTAGTTATTGTTAATAATTTCTTTTATTTATATAGATGGTTATAAATTTATTTATAGTTAGATAATTGCAAAGGCTTTTCAAATGACTCTTTTATTTTTTCACGTAAAAAAACACATTAGAATAGTCTATATGCCTGGTATTTTTTTTGTAATATAACTTGCATACCAAATAAATGATTTTATGTTTTTTCCTTTTTTCTCTTTACATTTGTTTTGAAAAAAATATTATTTTTTAATGTTTTACACTGACTCTATTTTTATCCTTTTTTTTTCCTTTTTTCTCTTTACATTTTTTTTGAAAAAAATATTATTTTTTAATGTTTTACATTGACTCTATTTTTAACCTTTTTTATTATTCTTTTGTAATTTTTTTAATGTTTTTTTCTTTACACCTTTTGTTTTTGAAAATTTATTCTACTCATATTAAAAAAAATGATGTTTTACGGTAGCAATTACAATAATATTCTATTTTTTAGTTATGTTAAAAATTAGTTTAAAATCTTATATATTTTTATTAATGTATATAATTTTTATTAAATATAAACGTCGACGTTGTGATTCACAATTATATTTTTCACTTAATATAAGAGAATACGTTAATAATATTTATACATTAACTTTTTTGTATTGGAAAAAAATATTTAACCAACAGCTAAACAAGTGAATAAACATATTAACACTTTATTTTTTATATTCATGCACATAAATAGTTCTTATAGGCATTCTGATTTATAATTAGAGTTTTTTAAAATAAATAAATTTAAAAAACTTATGTATTTAATTTTTACATTTTGCTAAAAAATTTATCCCATCTGCAGTGAATCGCAATTAGCGTAACTAGTCTTATCTAATCGGCAAATGCACACCTAGTTCTCCTCGGCAAGCAGTTTCTTTACACCTTTTGTTTTTGGAAATTTATTCTACATAGGAAATGATGTTTCACTGTAGCAATTGCAATAATATTCTATTTTTTTAGCTATGTTAAAAATTAGTTTAAAATCTTATATATTTTTATTAATATATATAATTTTTATTATATATAAATGTCGACTTTATGATTCACAATTATATTTTTTACTTAATGTAAAAGAATACGCTAATAACATCTATATATTAATTTTTTTGTATTGAAAAAAAATATTTAACCAACAACTAGACTAGACGAATGAATAAACATATTAACACTTTAGTTTTTATATTTATGGACACAAATAGTTCTCATAGGCATTCTGATCTATAATTAGAATTTTTTTAAATAAATAAATTTAAAAAACTTATGTATTTAATTTTTACATTTTGCTAAAAAAATTATCCCATCTGCAGTGAATCGCAATCAGCATAACTAGTCTTACCTAATTGGCAAATGCACACCTAGTTCTCCTCGGTAAGCAGTAACCATGTAGGATGAACCAATTATAAAACTAGATGGGCCAATTTATGCGTTGGGCTTTTGATTTTTGCTTTCTCTGTTGTATGTAGGTTTTGAATTGCAGAGTGCAGCAAGCGAGCGCTGCGAGCGTCTTATTTTGGTGAGAGTGAGGCTACAAATTGGTGGTGGGTCAATGGGGACTAGAGAGGTATACGAGCAGAAATTAAGAACCGGAAATCTCTATCACGATCCTACTATCAAACCTGGACTCGGTTCTCCTCGCTGCCCTCGCTGTCTTTCTCTCTTAAACCCTGTTTCTGTACCTACTCATCTTCAATCTCTCTCTCCTTTTCCCCTTCTTCTTTAAATGATGTAGAAAAATGTAAACAACCCGCTGATTTTCAACTTTTTTTTCTTTTTCGGTGCAGGCAAAGGGAGAATGGACCATTACCTCTATTTTACATGACGCAACCGCTGTGGTCAGTTTTTTTTTTTTGAATTTCTGTTTCATCCAATTTTCAATTTTTTGCTCGATTTCTGTTTAATTAAACTCCATTTTTAGTTGTTTTCATGCTCGTTTAATTTTCTTCTGTTTTTTTACTTTTCGAGATAAGTTGAGTTTGAGGATTTTATATAGGAAAACTTCGAATCCTTAATGTATTTTCTAGAATTATTATAGCTGATGATTTAATTTAAGTCTCTTTTTCTCGTCATTGAATTGAATAGGCTGGCTCGGGTATTGGTGGAATGCTTAGTGCAGTTCATGGTTTCAATACCGGTAACAATTAAAAATCCCTCGTCTTGGTGAATTTTGCTGTTGTTTTCGCTTAGTGTTTGTGTTAAGTACACTCTTTTATTTCAGGGATTCCATTCCTTCAGAATCGATTGAAGGGACCAAAGTGGCTTCCTTTCCTAGTCGGGGTACATCTATTCTACTTATTTGTTTCTGCTTTTTGAATCTTTTGACTAACTTATGCCTGCCACTTGTTTTTGGCAAATATCAATGAATCATGACACGCTTACTCAGTTTGTTAATGCATTGTTTACTTACAGCTTCCTCCACTGCTTGTTGTTTCGGCTGCCAGTGCTGCATTTGGAGGTAGGCGTAACCTCTGTTACTGTGATTGATTTATTGCAACATTTTTTCTCAGCATATGAAATGGATGAGTGGGTTGTCTTGATTCTACAATTTTATTTTATCTTATCTTATTATTTTCCTATAATCATTTTCTGAAAATGGAAATGAGTTCAGGAACTTCAATTTTTTTCTGTTGCCATATTACCCTCTACATGCTATTTCCTGAAAATAAATTATTTTTCTTTTCCTCATATCTTTTCTCTTCTGACATATACTAATTCTCAGTTGCCCCTCAAGTGCTTGATACTATGATGGGCAATATCAATCAAAGGATCGGTTAGTCCCAATGAACCAAACAATTCAAAGAATTTCAGTTTCAAAAAAGAAAAGTAAAGACAAAAATTGCAAACATCTAGGTGTCAAGTAAATGCTACTGGTTTATTGTAATTCAAGCTAAAGAGTATAATGATGTATATGATCTGATCGATTGTGTAAGGCATGCTGTAGCAATGGAACCAGGGAAAATATAGAGAAATGTTACATACAGCTCATGAAAGTATGAGCTTGAAGAGTCTCAATGCAATCCAATTAGTTGCTGGCTTATGGATCATAGGGAGGTTGGCTTGAGAGCCCAAATGGGGCCAAACCCTTGGTTTCTTGCTGCAATAGCATGTCATGTCACTTGATGAGAAATGAGAGGACTAGGCTGATGTGCCTCTATCATTCTTGTGGAAGTTTCATCATCTGAGGCAGTAACAGGTAGCAATAGCATGGTGAAATGAGAAACTTAAGAGGGTAATTGTCCTATTTGAGCTGAATGAGTTTCCAACTTCCTTAAAGTTGTGGGATCCCTAAAGGTTAGCTTCTTGGATTTGGACAAGTACGAGAGGAAGTTCCTAACAGTTTTGGGTCAAAGGTATGTGACAGGGTTAGTGAAGCATTTGTAGTCCGTACTAGGTTCCTTTGCAGGTACTAGACTGCCCAGGTGCTTAGTCTTCTAACTGGCTACTACTAGGTGCTCGCAGAGCATTTTTTAAGGGGGTATATTGTACCATGTATCTTATTAATACAAACAAGGACTGTTATTCAATTTCTCGTATGTTCCACGTTTTCTTTCCATGTCTTGTTGACTAAAATAGTGGATTTATGGGAGTGTTTAAACTCTGCATTAGTGTTTTTTTTTTTTTTTAAAAAAAAATGTATAATGACATGATTGACAAAACAAACATCTTATACTAAAGCACTTCATCATCTTGACCGTGTATTTTCATTTGCTGATTTGCTTTCTCGAGTTAGATTTACATGTATTCTTATCTTTTCTACAATTTACATATATTGAATTGCGTGTTTAATTATAACTTTGTAGGTTATGTGCTTCCAAAGTTTGCTCAACTTACTGTGACATCGTATTATGCTTCCTCAAGTGCCTCTCATTATGGGATTTCACTCCTCACCCGACATATTGAAGAGTCCTATACTTCCCGATCTCAGCAAGAAAAGCTCAGATGATGTCTTGCAGGTGCACGTACAACAGAATTTACTTTCCTCAATTTTGTAAGCAGGTTCAATTGTGTGAATGGATGCATGAATTTGTATATGCTGTAATTTCCGACTTCTACATTTCTGCATTTTCTAGTATTAAATTTGCCATGCTAAAATATTGTTTCAAGATGCTTTTGGGGTACTCATCCAACCATTTTGATTGTAAAGGTATTGATAACAAATTCGCTTTATTCGCTTTGTTTGGATGGCAGATGATATCAACATGGGCGACTGTCATAGAATGGTATAAGGTGTCAAATATAGGGATAACAACTATTACTTTACAAGCTTTGGAATGCCTTATATTATTGTACAATGTACTAAAAAGAGTTTGGTCTTTTGAAAAAGTGCAGATGACCGTTTGGGCATCCTTATAATCTCTCCGTGACCTACACTGTTCATTTTTACAGTTTTTTTTTTTTTTAATGTTTTGCTTATCAAACTTTATTATTTTATAATTCCATCATTCTAAGTTATATTAGCATGGTTTCATGTGGTGTGATTTTTTTTCCCGCTTGGCATGCTCTCTTATACTTGAAGTATCAAAGAACATTCTGGAGTTAAATTAAAGATTGTTCATTGATGTGATGAACGAGAATTTTAGGTTATAGTTTAAATTTTTTTTTAAAATAATAGGGATGACATTTAACACAAGAAAAAAAACAAAAAGCTTTTGTTTTTAATGTGAAAAACTTCAATTTCATTTCAGTTTCAACTACACAAATTCCTTGTGTTACATCGGGGCTCGGGTTAATTTTTGGCCTACAATAAAAACAATTAAAAATATTAATATTTAAAAAAGATTAAGAAAAATCTAAGAAATTAATAATTAAAAAGATTACACGTGTGTTATTTAAGCAGAAACATGTAAAATAAACAAAAAACAAAATACTATGAAATGGGTATTTTTATTTAATTTAACCGAGACATGTAAAATAAACAAAAAACAATATGAAATGGGTATTTTTATTTAATTTAATTAATTTTTTTTAAAAAAAGTTAGAATATTGAAAAAAATCTGAGATAATCCTTTTACTTTCAAAACCATGAAAAAAAAATCCTATAAAAAGAATAAAAAAATGTTGTTGGATGACAAAAACAAACAAAAAAAACTTGAAAAAAGAAGGAAAAAACAAAGTCTAAGTAAACCTTGTAAATTCATGTTAGTTTTTTAAATTTGTATCTTGTTAAATTGTAGAGTTGGATCAAATTAAGAAGCTCAATACTTATCTAATTAAATATCTAGAGGTTGAAATTAATTAATTTAATTTAATTAACAAACAAAATTTCTTTTAAAAAAGCTAAATTTAACATTAAATATATTAAAGAACAAAATTAATTTAATTAACAAACAAAATTTCTATTAAAAAAGCTAAATTTATCAAAGACCCGAAAAAAATTGGAGGTAACCTGTTTTATTCTAAAAAGAAAGATAAATCTCAGAAAACACAAATAAAAAGAATGTTGGAGGATGATTTCACAAAAAAGCTTAAAATACAAAAAAAAGAAACGTCTGAGTGAACCTTGTAATGTGTTAAATTCTCAACCTCGGTTCAATTTAGAAGCTCAACACATGAAAATTTAAATTTTACAAGATGAAATAAATTAATTTAATTTAATTAAAAAAATTCCTTTAGAAAAACTAAATTAAAAAAGACTAAAAAAAATAGGCAATTCGTGTTATTTAAAAAAAAACTACAAAATCTCAAAGAAAATGAATAAAAAAACAAAATATTAGAGGTTGAGGGAAACAAAATCTTAAAAAGTTTTTAAAAGATCAAGAAAATCAATGTCAACTTCATAAATTAGGATTAATATTTCAAACTCGCAACTTATTAAATTTTAGATTTGGGCTCAATTAAAAAGTTAAAACCTGACGAATTAAATAAAAAATCATTCTAAAAAAATCTTGCAAGGTAAAAATATCAATAAAAAAAAATTAAATTTGATAGGAAAAAAATTCAAGAATGATTTATATATATAAAAAATGCAATTTCAAAAACCATCTTTAATGAAAAAAAATAGAAACCAAATCTCACAAATGAAAAAAACCAATTGGTGATAAAATTTTTAAAAAATCCTTAATTTCATAAATTATTCTGAATAAAAAATTATAATATAAAGAATATGAATGAAATCTTACAAATCTTTAAGTTTGATTTGAGTTTTTTGAAAGCTAGTATGAAAATCAAGTAGAAAAAAGGGAAAGAGAAAAAACAAAAGGTCGCACGCGTCAAATAGATAACAATTATGCCACACGCATTGCTTGTACATGAAAAGGATGCCAAAATGCTTTGGCTGCCTCCCTAGAAGCAAGGTTTTGGATGCCGAACAACATTGTGCCGTCCAAACCTAGCAGACATTGTTCATGCACTTCTAATTATTATTTTTTTAAATAGTTATAAAATCACCTATATATTCCTAATGATATTTAATAACTATCAAATAAAGAAATGTAAAAGATAAAAGAATTCTTAAATCAAAGGCAAAACTTTTTAAATTCCAAGGACAACAAAGTAACTTAACTATTTTAAAATTGAGTCAAAAAGCGCCCCTTGACCAAAGTTTAATGTATTTTGCTTTCAATGGTAATAAGGTAATTACATTATAGAATCAAAATTCAAAAAACCTATTTAACTCCATTTATTTTTGTAATGACTAATAGGTTTTATGTTAAAAACATCTGAAGAAAATAATAATTTTACTTTGACAATCTATAAATTCATAGTGAAATGTAAGTGTGTGCATAAGAAAACCC